TATTTAGACAACCCAGGTAATAGTTCAGTGGGGACTTGTGCGAAAGAAATTATTATTTCAATGCCAAGTCACGTTTACAGCTTTGAACAAGTAGCAAAACATGGGCATGTTTCTAAAATGGATTTCCCAGCAACCACGCAAAAGCCAGAGGGGATGGCTTAGTGTTTTAAGCCTAAGATTTGAAATACCTAGACTCCCTGCAAACTACAACGTTAAATCCTCTGTAGAACCACAGCTTCAAATGCTATCAGGAAAGACTCAACTCTGCATCCTTTAGAGACTGATAAATTGAAAGCCATGAAGTTCAGCAAGAAAGGAGGGGAATTTACGCCTGCCCACAACTACCACCCATCAACCTTGAACGCGCGCGTGCGCACACACACACACACACACACACACACACACAGTATTTGTAGCAGCTCTTAAGATCGACAGGAGATTCAATTCTCGGAAAGACTTAAGCATTTTGAATCCAGAAATTACCCAACTCTGGGATGCACCAGCTTCATAAACATCAATACTAACTTTCAGACAACTCAAAGTGGACGGAAAATATTTTGAGCTTCTATTTAATGCAGTCAAAATCTGTGTGCTCACTTTAAGATGCATTCTAGGTATCCAGCCACTTCATGGGTATTCTGCATTCTATACAGATTGCTCCATCCATACACTAGTTGATAGATACTTGGTAAATGCTAATTAAAACAAAGCATATTACTTAATTATTTTTTGAAGGTTCATCTAACTCTTACCTCATTTATTAAAGCAAGAAAAAATATTATTATCTCCATATTATAGATAAGAAAAGTGTATCTCTGTAAGATTAAATGAGCTAGTCAGAGCTGCCATATAGTTGCTCTAAATTTTAAAATCCAAGTCTTGAGGCATGGGATATTGTTACAAGAACATTTTCCTTATTAATACAGACATTTTACCAAATAAATGATGCATTCTACATTTGAATAAAAATAATTTTATGGTTAGCTTTTAAAAACCAGCAACATTACATATCTGTTACATATAATTAATTATTGAAATAAGAAAGTGAGGTAAATACTGAGAAAACGATGTGATATGGGACTGACTCACAAACTGCTAATATAGGCAGAATTGTCTTTAAATTTTCCTGCTTCATGGAAAAGTCTGCTGGACACTATGGGTCTGTGGGCTGAAGATGGATGCCCCAACAGTACAGAAGAACTTTGGGTGACTGTCCAGGCAGTGAGAAGTCTCTGTCAATTTTAAAATTTTTGAAATTACTTGCAATGTACTTCCTGTTTACTTATGTAATATCATATCCTTCTGGAGTCTTTGAGGGAGTTGAAGAATTTATAGTTATAGTTTTCCTTAGTTATGATAAAAGATAAAGTAGATACAAGTATTGTAACTGTAATTCATGCTTAATAACTGTTTTATGATATGTAATTATATGTATTTATATGTATTATATTTTACTATGTTAAAGTTAAAATCTTTCTTTTTATTTAAACAGAAAAAGGGAGGTGATGTGGGAGTCTCCTCTGTGTGCTGTGATTACCATTAATGAATAAACAACTGCTTTGAGCCTAGCCCAGAGCAGGGCAGGGTGGAGCAGAGCTAGGTGGGGAAGATGGAACTGAATGCTGGGAGGAGGAAGGCAGAGTCAGGGAGACACCATGGAGCCACCACCGGAGATAGACATGCTGGAACTCTGCCAGTAAGCTACTGCCATGTGGTGATACACAAATTAATAGAAATGGGTTAAATTAATATGTAAGAGTTAGTCAATAAGAAGCTAGAGTCAGTACATGCAGTAGAATCAAAACCCAGTGCCATTGTCCTTGGCTTCACTGTCAGCCCTCCTTGTCAGTCACATTCAGAGTCTGGATGCTCACCTTCCTAGAACTGGATGGAGGGGAGGACCTTGGACTTTCCACTGGGCAGGGAACCCTGACTGCTCTTTGTACTGGAGAGGGAGGGGGAGGCAGGCTGGAGGGAGGGGAGGGAAATGGAAGGTAGGGAGGAGGTGAAAATTTTTAATAATAATAATAATAATAAAAACTTGAAAGAAATAAGTTAGAGCCATGGGCCAAGCAGTGATTTAATTAATACAACTTCTATGTGGTTATTTCAGTTCTGGGCAGCTGTGGCAAACAAGAGGCCCCCTCCATGCAACAACTATGGGTCATTTTTGCTAGTCTACTTACTGAGTATTATTAGTGTACTATAAACAGATGTACATTTTAGTTTAGAGAAACTTCAATGTCAAGCAAAAGGATTCAGTTACATTGAGACACAAAGGAATATTGAATCTAAACTATTCTTCAAGTGCTAGCTAAAAATAAGTAACAGGCATACAATATCTAAAATAATTAATGTCTTTAGAATGTAGCTGTTCTGATTGCCCTAAGCTTAGACAAAGGGAGCTCACTGAGCACTCCCATGGCTGAGCACAGCAATGAGTGAGCACTGCAATGACTGAGCACTGTAATGGCTGAGCACTGCAATGA